ATTATCGCAATATTTCAGTTTTACCAATTTCTTCAGTAAAATTGTCACAGTGACATTTACCCAGCCCAAGATCAACCCAAAAACTGATCCAGTTAAGATTCACCAAAGTGTCGTGCTTGATGACGATCATAGGAGGAGACCTTCTCCAGTAAATTCACGGACACTAATATCTAATAACATCTGAAAATTTAGGTTTGCGTATCTCAAAACTTATTCTATGCTTCGAGAAATATTGATCATCGGTGGAAGTTTCAAGCCAGTTAGGAGAAGCATTCTTAATTGATACTCAGAATTAACAATTTCAAGTTTCTTAACTATGTTTGAAAATTTACAAATTTCTAAGTAGACAGCCTGAAGATAAATGATACCATCATGACTATTTAACTCACGTCAGTGACACACACGTCAGTGACACACACGTCAGTGACACACACGTCAGTGACACACACGTCAGTGACACACACGTCAGTGACACACACGTCAGTAACACACGTCAGTGACACACACGTCAGTAACACACACGTCAGTGACACACACGTCAGTGACACACACGTCAGTAACACACACGTCAGTGACACACACGTCAGTGACACACACGTCAGTAACACACACGTCAGTGACACACACGTCAGTGACACACACGTCAGTGACACACGTCAGTGACACACGTCAGTAACAAACACAACCTTTGAAGCGACCTACACCACTTGTGAAGCAACCTGCACCACTTGTGAAGCAACCTGCACCACTTGTGAAGCGACCTGCACCACTTGTGAAGCGACCTACACCACTTGTGAAGCGACCTACACCACTTGTGAAGCGACCTACACCACTTGTGAAGCAACCTGCACCACTTGTGAAGCAACCTGCAACACTTGTGAAGCGACCTGCACCACTTGTGAAGCGACCTACACCACTTGTGAAGCGACCTACACCACTTGTGAAGCAACCTACACCACTTGTGAAGCGACCTACACCACTTGTGAAGCAACCTGCACCACTTGTGAAGCGACCTGCACCACTTGTGAAGCAACCTGCACCACTTGTGAAGCAACCTACACCACTTGTGAAGCAACCTGCACCACTTGTGAAGCAACCTGCACCACTTGTGAAGCGACCTACACCACTTGTGAAGCGACCTGCACCACTTGTGAAGCAACCTGCACCACTTGTGAAGCGACCTGCACCACTTGTGAAGCGACCTACAGCACTTGTGAAGCGGCCTACACCACTTGTGAAGCAACCTGCACTACTTGTGAAGCGACCTACACCACTTGTGAAGCGACCTACACCACTTGTGAAGCAACCTGCACCACTTGTGAAGCGACCTGCACCACTTGTGAAGCAATCTGCACTACTTGTGAAGCAACCTGCACCACTTGTGAAGCGACCTGCACCACTTGTGAAGCGACCTGCACCACTTGTGAAGAAACCTGCACCACTTGTGAAGAAACCTGCACCACTTGTGAAGCGACCTGCACCACTTGTGAAGCGGCCTACACCACTTGTGAAGCAACCTGCACCACTTGTGAAGAAACCTGCACCACTTGTGAAGCGACCTGCACCACTTGTGAAGCGGCCTACACCACTTGTGAAGCAACCTGCACTACTTGTGAAGCGATCTACACCACTTGTGAAGCGACCTACACCACTTGTGAAGCAACCTGCACCACTTGTGAAGCAACCTGCACCACTTGTGAAGCAACCTGCACCACTTGTGAAGCAACCTGCACCACTTGTGAAGCGACCTGCACCACTTGTGAAGCGACCTGCACCACTTGTGAAGAAACCTGCACCACTTGTGAAGCGACCTGCACCACTTGTGAAGCGACCTGCCCCACTTGTGAAGAAACCTGCACCACTTGTGAAGCGACCTGCACCACTTGTGAAGAAACCTGCACCACTTGTGAAGCGACCTACACCACTTGTGAAGCGACCTACACCACTTGTGAAGAAACCTGCACCACTTGTGAAGCGACCTGCACCACTTGTGAAGCGACCTGCACCACTTGTGAAGCAACCTGCACCACTTGTGAAGCGACCTACATCACTTGTGAAGCGACCTGCACCACTTGTGAAGCGAACTACACCACTTGTGAAGCAACCTACACCACTTGTGAAGCGACCTGCACCACTTGTGAAGCGACCTGCACCACTTGTGAAGCGGCCTACACCACTTGTGAAGCAACCTGCACTACTTGTGAAGCGATCTACACCACTTGTGAAGCGACCTACACCACTTGTGAAGCAACCTGCACCACTTGTGAAGCAACCTGCACCACTTGTGAAGCAACCTGCACCACTTGTGAAGCAACCTGCACCACTTGTGAAGCGACCTGCACCACTTGTGAAGCGACCTGCACCACTTGTGAAGAAACCTGCACCACTTGTGAAGCGACCTGCACCACTTGTGAAGCGACCTGCCCCCCTGTGAAGAAACCTGCACCACTTGTGAAGCGACCTGCACCACTTGTGAAGAAACCTGCACCACTTGTGAAGCGACCCCGCACCACTTGTGAAGCGACCTGCACCACTTGTGAAGAAACCTGCACCACTTGTGAAGCGACCTGCACCACTTGTGAAGCGACCTGCACCACTTGTGAAGCGACCTGCACCACTTGTGAAGCGACCTGCACCACTTGTGAAGCAACCTGCACCACTTGTGAAGCGACCTGCATCACTTGTGAAGCAACCTGCACCACTTGTGAAGCGAACTACACCACTTGTGAAGCAACCTACACCACTTGTGAAGCGACCTGCACCACTTGTGAAGCGACCTGCACCACTTGTGAAGCGACCTGCACCACTTGTGAAGCAACTTGCACCACTTGTGAAGCAACTTGCACCACTTGTGAAGCAACTTGCACCACTTGTGAAGCAACTTGCAACCACTTGTGAAGCAACTTGCACCACTTGTGAAGCAACTTGCACCACTTGTGAAGCAACTTGCACCACTTGTGAAGCAACTTGCACCACTTGTGAAGCAACTTGCACCACTTGTGAAGCAACTTGCACCACTTGTGAAGCAACTTGCACCACTTGTGAGAGTTGGTAGTCATTATGGAATGACTGGAACGGTCTGTTTCAAATTAAAAGAGAGACACTTGCACTTGCCAATATTTGCATAAATATTTTCCACGTACCTAAATAACTGTCAAAGAATGTAGAAAGAAATGAAAAAAAAATCAACGTTTTTTTAAATAAATAATTTGATAATGCAATATTTCGGTAATAGGAAAAACCTGTGGAGCTTCAACCAAAGTTTTAAACACTAGAACTTCTGATAATAGTTTTATAACAAGCATTTTAAAAACACAAATGTTGTGGAAAATACTGTATATTTTCCGAAAATACATTGTTTTTTTAATGTAAATTGATGGAATATATTGTAGGTTATAAAAATTAATTTGTAAATCAATAAAGAACCAGCGAAATTGGCGAGTGTCGCTGGGAAGTCGCCATTGTTTTGAACTGACGGAAAAACGTTAGTGAAAGTCGGAAGAATTTTCGTCGCTCTAGAGGTTATATTGGGCTTAAAACCTCTCAAATAGGAGCCGAAATTGTTGGAATTGCAGTCCTGCAGAACGTGAGAATTAGGCGACTGGACAGGACTCCATAATTAGATGGAAACAGGATATTACCACAGCTGAGTGATGTCTATATTTATGTTGAAATTCTGGCCAGTATTTTCTTCATATTTTAGGCAGGGGGTTTTGTGTATGACACACAGTAATCCCCAGACAAATTGGTGAGTGGTATTAAGATAAATTCTCCTTCAATGTATATGTATTCATTTTTTAAATTTAACATACAGTCCACATATTTATATTAATGTTTCACCAGAATTCCTGGTGATGTATATTTCATTTGAAATTAATATAGGTCCAGAGTGACTTGTGGAGATACAGATTGTAGTAGGTATCGAAGAGGGACATTTTTTTGCGACCTAGGTGTCCTAAAATTCCTACTTGTCTCTGTAACTTTGATAAAGAATAATTATCTTTGTTGCCATTAAACTGGTATGTATCTTATGAGTTACATCCAGGTAAATTTAATTTTCCATAAATGTTTTGCAGACAAACTCACAAATTTTAAATTAAAATTTAAAATATAATTAAAGCACTTCTTGGAAATTGTTTAAAACCCGGGGAATAATTACGCTGGAATTACTAAAAAAAAAGAAGAGAAATATATAGACGGCCATCAATTAATTACATTATATTATTGCCACTGGAAAAATCTATAATGATTAAAAAGACATAACATATAAGATTTCAAACCAAAATTTAATTAGTGAACTTTTTTAACAAACAACAATGCTTTCCCCTTCAAGCAAATACAATTAATCAGTTGTTAACATAAGTGTTGTTTGTCAGGTAAACAACTACCAGCCAGAAGTAGTATGGTCGGGCAGTGTTAACATTAGTGTTCTTTGTCAGGTAAACAACTACCAGCCTAAAGTAGTATGGTCAGGCAGTGTTAACATTAGTGTTCTTTGTCAGGTAAACAACTACCAGCCTAAAGTAGTATGGTCGGGCAGTGTTAACATCAGTGTTGTTTGTCAGGTAAACAACTACCAGCCTAAAGTAGTATGGTCGGGAAGTGTTAACATCAGTGTTGTTTGTCAGGTAAACAACTACCAGCCGGAAGTAGTGTGGCTGGACAGTGTTAACATAAGTGTTGTTTGTCAGGCAAACAACTACCAGCCAGAAGTAGTATGGTCTGGCAGTGTTAACATCAGTGTTGTATGTCAGGTAAACAACTACCATCTGGAAGTAAAGTGATCGGACAGTGTTAACATTAGTGTTGTTTGTCAGGTAAACAACTACCAGCCGGAAGTAGTGTGGTCGGACAGTGTTAACATTAGTGTTGTTTGTCAGGTAAACAACTGCCAGTCAGTAGTATGGTCGGGCAGTGTTAACATAAGTGTTGTTTGTCAGGTAAACAACTGCCAGTCAGTAGTATGGTCGGGCAGTGTTAACATTAGTGTTGTTTGTCAGGTAAACAACTACCATCCAGAAGTGGTGTGGTCGGATGGTGACTGGGAGGCACCAGACTGGTACTGGAACTCTACAATCTTCCTGGCTTGGCTCTTCAACGACTCACCAGTCAAGGACACCGTCCTTACTAACGACAGGTGGGGCGCTGGAACCAGCTGCCTCCACGGGTCTTTTTACTCGTGCAGTGACCGCTACAACCCAGGTACAGTGACCGCTACAACCCAGGTACAGTGAGCGCTACAACCCAGGTACAGTGACCGCTATAACCCAGGTACAGTGATCGCTACAACCCAAGTACATTGACCACTATAACCCAGGTACAGTAACCACTACAACCCAGGTACAGTGACCACTATATCCCAGGTACAGTGACCACTACAACCCAGGTATAGTGACCACTAAAACCCATGTACAGTGACCGCTAAAACCCATGTACAGTGACCGTTACAACTCACGTACAGTGACCGCTACAATCCAGATACAGTGACTGCTACAACCAGGTACACTGACAGCTACAACTAGGTACAGTGACAGCTACAACCAAGTACAGTGACAGCTATAACTCAGGGACAAAGACTGCTACAGCCCAGGTACAATGACGGCTACAAAGCAGGTACAGTGATCGCTACTATCCAGATACAGTGACCGCTACAACCCAGGTACAGTGAACGCTACAACCAAGATACAGTGACTACTACCGCCCAGGTACAGTGACCGCTACAATCCAGATACAGTGACCGCTACAACCAGGTACAATGACCGTTACAAACTAGGTACAGTGACCGCTACAAGCCAGATATTGTGACCACTACAACCATGTGCCGAATAGGCAAAACTGGTCAGTTAGCAAGAAGTTATTTCAAATTAAGTCACTACTATTCCTACCACAAAACCAGGGTAAAAAGGAGTGTGTTCCTCACAATGTTCTTGAGAGCCTTGCGCATCTGCAGTCCAGAGTATCTACAGGACGAAATCAGCAAGATATTCAACATAGCCACAAAACTGAGATATCTTAGGGATTTTGTCGAGAAGGCACTAATGTCAGCAAGAAAGGCTGTCTACAGGACTGAACCTAAGGAAGTGATGGCCAGGACAATGAACTAGTTTTACCATACAATGAGAATCTGGTTTGCCTACATAAGGCATTAAAAAAGATCAATAAAAACCTTGCGTTCAAAAACACATGGACAGTGAAACATAGGCTGGTTAAAAACACACCCTCCAACAAAGTTGATCGGGTTTACAAGGTCCCTGGTCAAACAGGTAAGTTTCTGGAAACCGGAATAGCCCAACATAAACATTCAGTCAGGACAGGGCAGGATCGATGCTATCTAACCCGTTAGTTGATTATATCACCCAGT